CCGCTTAACGGAGGGGGGGCCCGGGGTCACCCTCTCCACGCCCCGCCCGAGTCCCCGCCGGGCCGCCCCGGCCGCCCGAGCCACCCCCGAGCAGCCGAGAGCCCCTGGGAGCGCGGCCCGAGCCCCCCCCCGACCTGGCCCGGCCCGGAGCAGCCCCGGGAGCCGCCATCGCCACATCGCCGGAAGTGCCGCACGGGAGCCGCCATCGGTCCGTCCGCAAACCCGCCCCCCACCGTGCCACGGCCCGGCTGGGAAACGCGCCCGCAAGAGTAGTTCCGCCGCATCCCAGTTCCCCCCGCGCGCACCGGGAAGGGGGGACCGGCCTTGGGGTTCTCCTCCGGGGGTGGGGGGAGGTCCCGGAGTCCCTCAGCGGCCTCGGGAGGTGCTAGAAGTGGGTTCCAGGCTTTGTGCTGGGAGACAAACTGGTTTTGTTGGGATAATAAAAGCCCGGAATGGTTCGACTGGGATAAGGTTCCATTTTATTCCCGGTAGCTGGGTTCGGATTCAGGAACTCGGGATGGAAATGCTGTGGATCACACAGGGATGGTTTGGTGGCTGCCGAGCAGGGCTTACCCTCCTCAAGGACTCCACAGTGTCCTATGGGACAATCCATGTTTTCCATGATAATCCATGTTTTCCAGGAGGTGATACCATCCTCCTCCTTATCATCTCTGGGAATCTTCCACCTCCTCTGCTCCACAGGGCCCTCCATTGCCCACCAGAAGCCCCTTTCTCCCCCCCACCCCGAGCCCTGGGGTGACCTGGGGCTGTGACATCACAAGCAGGGCTGTGACATCAGCGCGCCGTCGCCGGGCAACACCGGGAGCCACCCCTCCCCAGCTCCCAGGGATATGGGATATGTGCCATCCCCACGGGATGGGGGGAGTCATGAGCAGCGTCCTGCCGGGCTCCCGGAGCAGCCGAGTGGCTCCAGCTGCTCCCAGTTCCCCCATGGCTCCCGCTTTTCCGGAGGCTCCCGTGGGCTCCGTGCCATGCAGATGCGGCCCCGGCTGCTCCCCCTGTGCCACAGCGGCCCAGGAGCTGCAGGACCTGCTGGTGTCCGTGTGTGCTGGGAACGGGAGGTCCTTCCCAAGGGTTTCCCTGGCGTGGCAGGTGCTGTGGGAGGACCTGGAGAAGCTGGTGGAGAGAGGCCACCTGTACTGCTGCCTCGGTGATTCCTGCTGGATCCCAGGTGGGAAAGAGCCCGTGGACAGCTCTCCCTACTCCCTGGGAGACGCGGGAATGAGCAAGGCCAGCTCATCCCTGAGGGTGCACGTGGCCAGGAAAAGCCTGGAAGTCAAAATGGGAGCCTGGCCCATCCCAGTGGTGCGCTCCCAGGAGCGGGTGGAGCGGCAGGAAGGGTCATCCCAGCCCCCCAAGAGCCTCCGTTCCTCTGGAAGCCTCCCGTGTTCCCAGGAGCGGGTGGAACGGCAGGAAGGGTCACCCCCGCCCTCGGAGAGCCTCCATTCCTCTGGCAGCCTCACTCCTTCCGAAAGCCTCCCCCTCTCCAAGAGCCTGAGCGATTCCTGGCGGGCTCCAGACGGAGAGGACGCCGTGGACAGCTCTCCCTGCTCCCTCGGAGCAGCGGGAATCAGCAGAACACGCTCGTCCCTGAGGATGCACGTGGCCAGGAAGAACCTGGAAGTCAAACTGGGAGCCCAGCCCACTCCAGTGAAGAGTTCCCAGGAGGAAGTGGCACAGCAGGAAGAGCCCTGGAGCCACCAGTGCCCAATCCAAGGATCCCGGGACGCTGCGGTGGTGCCAACTGGGAACAGCCTGGGCTCGGTGTCGGAGAAGATCCTCCAGCAGCAAAGGGATCTGGAATTCCCCCATCTCCAGGGAGCTTTCCCAAGCTGGCTGTCAAATTTCAGGAGGAAGTTTCTCTTGGCAGTTCAGATACTCCTGCAGATCCTGTGTTTGAAATAAATAAGGATTTTCCCAAAAGAGCTGCCTGAGTGTTCCCACTGCCCTGGTGTTTATTGGGATAGGGCTCCTTCCCTCCCAGCAGCTGGGTTTGGATTCGGGATGGGAATGCTGTGGTTTGGTTTCCCTCCTCAAGGATTTTGCAGTGTCCCATGGGACAATCCATGCTTTCCACTGGGACAGGGCTGGAACAGGGACAGGGGTGGGGACCAGGAGCAGGGCTGGATTGAGGACAAGTGCTCAAGCCCCTTGGTTTTCCCTGGAAGGAGGAAGGTCTGGAAAGGAGCCCCATGTGTGTGCAGGGGGTGTGGGAATACCCAGCTTCCCCCTGGAGACCCGTGGCCACCGCCCTTTCCACGGGGGTTAAAAAAAGGCACCAGTGGGGGTCATCCCTCCATCTCCATTATCCCAATGGATGCTCCCAGGGGAGGGTGGTTTGTGCTCTTCCTTGCAGCCACGGCCTGGGCTCAGGTTGGCCTGGGAAAGCGGGTGTCTGGGGGGTCTGGGGACAGGGACAGGGTGGGTCCCCCTGCCCTGGACACAGTGAGGAGGACCACGGCCTCAGTGCCTGGGGCCACTCCCCTAAAGGATCACTGTAGGGATTCGAGGTCCAGCAGAGCCTCGAGCTCATCCTGGTGCATCCTGGGGTCCCCAAATCCCTGTCTCACTCCTCCTCCCGCTCACCTGCCAGTCTCTGTCACGTGTGGCCCCTCGTGGCTCTCGGTGACGGTCCCGCTCCGTGTCCTGGGGAGCCGTGTGGCCGCTGGGGAGCTGATCCTGGGCTCTGGATGTGGAGTCACCAGTGCTGACAGGGATGGATTCCGGCTGGAGCACCCACTCCTGGGCTGTGGGACCACCCTGGAGGTGAGGAGCAGGGACACACATTCCCGATGGGAATGGGAGTGGGTTGGGAATGAGGGGACCCTGCCAGGGCTTGGGGCAGGGAAGGAAACCAGGTGGGACTGGTATGGAGGGTCCCCCCAAACCCCCATCCCAGCATTCTGAGAGCACTGCTGAGTGAGGGGGTCACCTGAACCCTGGCCTGGGCATTCCTGGGGGGCCGGGGCGAGGGGGAAACCCCCAGCCCCAAATCCAGCCCCAAACCCACTCCTTCCCACAGCTCCTCCCGGACAGAATCCACTACGGGAACATCCTCCACTACCACCCCTCGTCCAGGGGGCCTGTGGCTCATGCCAGACCCTTCTCCCTCCCTGTGGAGTGTAACTACCCCAGGTGAGTGGGGAGAACCCTCCCAGGTGCCCAGGATTCCCCAGCAGAGACCCTTGGGAGCCAGGGCTCTGAGTCCCACGTGAGCCCCCCGTGGGATCCATCCAGGAGGGATTTGGGAGGGAGGGTGTGGGGTTGTCTGTATCAGGATGGGGTGCCCTCACTCAAGGATCCTCTGTGGCACAGGACAGGCACCATTTCGTCCATGCCCATCCATCCCACTTGGATCCCCTTCGGCTCCACTGTCACCCACCAGAATGGCCACGCTTCGCCCTGGCCGTGTTTGACCGTGAGTGGAGGAGCCCTGGACCCCCTCACCCCGCAGGGCAGGACCCCCTGTGACCCCCAGGGCACCCCCTTCCAGGTTCCTGGTCCTCCCGCCCGTCCCACCCCTCCTATTCCCTGAGGGAGCTGATCAACGTCCAGGCGTCCGTGGGCACCGACCCCCGGGAGCCCCTGAGGGTGTTCCTGGACCAGCACGTGGCCGCTCCAGGCGCTTCCAAACGGCTGGAATTCCGTGCCATCGCTGACAACGGGGGAGCTCCGCCGCTGGAATGGGGGTGGGGGGGGACCCTCTGGGGAAGGGGTGGCAGTGCCCGGCTCGCCCCGTGTCCCACCTGGCAGGTGCCTCCCGGATGGGCAGCTCGGCTGCTCCCGCTCCCTCCCGCGGCGTTGGAAACCACTCCCTCCGCTTCCAGCTGGACACTCTCCTCTTCCCAAACCTCTGCGGCAGCCAGGTCCGTGCCAGCGGGGGGGGCTGGGGGCACGGGGTGACACCTCCAGAGCCTGGTGGAGAATCCACGAGGATGTTTGTCCTGGCAGGTCGCTGCCACCTGCGGGCTGTGGCTCCAGGGGCCGGAAACCTCTCTGGAAAAGCCTGTTCCAGCGACCGGGAGGCATCTGCCTGGCATTCCCTGGATGCTGGATTCACTGGATTCGACTGTTCGTGCTGCGGGTCCCCAAAAGGCTGTGGGAGGCGTCGACGTCTGGCTGGTGGAGGTGAGATGAGACCCCCCCCACCCTTGGTGGGCTCCCTGAGCCCCGTGGGGGGCGATTCCCGCGCTCCATGGATCCATCCTCCCTGCAGGGCTCCTGGGAGAAGCCGGTGTCCACCTGGGGCTGCTCTCGGCTCGTCCCAGCCCGTCCCCAGCCCCTCTGGAGCCCACCCCGGCCCCCCCTGCCCGCCCCTCGGTGCCTGTGCTGCAGGGGGACAGAGGGACTCAGGCTGGTGTGAGCCCCCCATGGATCCGGGGGCAGGGGGGGCCTGAGGGTCCTCAGGTACCCACGGTGACCCCCGGGAGCCCCCCCGCTCCCGCCGAGCCCGTCGCTGCGTGAGCATCCCTGTTTCGGGAATAAACGCGCGGAACTGCCCGCGGCGGCCGTGGGTCCTGTGGACGCCCCGGGGGTGCTCGGTGCTTGGGGGTGGGGGGCTGTGACACGTCCCCACTGCCGCTGCGGACCCCCAAAAGTCCCACTGGGCTCCCTGGGGTGCTCTGGAGGGTGCTGGGAGCTGTGCGGGGGGGATATGGGCTGGAATAGGGGCACTGCTCCCCAGTTCCCAAAGCTGCTTGGCCACGGCGGGGCAGGTCCTGGGGCTGGGGGGGACGTGGATCAGAGGGTCCTTGTGCCACTGTCTCACCTGGGGGACACGAGCTGTGCCTGTCACTGTGGAGTCCTGGGGGGAGGGATTTGGGGATACAGGAGAGTATCTTGTACCCCACTCATTCCCAGGGCATTAATTCTTGGATTTGGGGTTTAATGCCCTGCCCGGAGCTCCTGGCTCCTTCTCGGGGCTGGACACCCTAAAAACAGGGGGAAACCCCCTGGGGGCAAAGCCAGCGCAGGGGGCAGTGGCTGGGATGAGTGGGGGGGTCCCATCTCCCCCTCCCTCCTGCTCCAGGGAGCAGATCCAAGGAGGATATTCTGGACCATCCCTGTCTGGGGAAAGGGGTGCCAAGCAGACCCAGGGGGAATGGTGCCTGGGCAGTGCCCCGTGTCCCCCGCAGCCCCCCTGGTCCCCCCCTCCTTCCCCCAACTCACCCGCTCCGCCGGGAGGAGCCGCAGGAGCCCTAATGGCCCTTGATGGATTTATTCTTCCAGGAATTCGCGGCGGGGCTTTTTTTTTTTTTCTTTCTTCCTTTCTCTCTTTTTATTTTTTTCCCCCCCTTTATTTCTGAGCTCCTGTAAACACGGCCTGGATCTGGAAGGGGGTGGGAGAGATGGGGGGGGACACAGAGCTGGGGAGGGGGGTTGGAGGGGTTCTGTGTCCCCAGAACCCTCTTTCCCTCCTCTCCCTTGGGTTGGGGATGAGCAGCTTTCCCCGGGGGGGCTGCAACGTTGGACATCGCCCCACGGAGCATCTCCCCCCCTGCCCCACGGAGCAACTCCCCGTGCCCCACACGGTCGGGGTCCCCACGGAGCATTTCTCCCACCTCCTGCCCTCCGTGGGGACGTGGGGGAAATGCTCCATGGGGCATCTTCCCAGCCCCCGCGAACATCTCCCCCCACCCCACACAGTCCCCCGGGGCATCTCCCCCCGCCCCACGCAGCCGGGGGACCCCACAAAGCGTCTCCCCCCACCCCACACGGGCGGGGTGTCCCATCTTCCCTGCCCCATGGAGCATCTCCCCCCACCCCCCGCAGCCGGGATGTTCCACTTTCCAGCCCCCCCCCCCCCGCCCCCTTTACGGGGTGATTTTTGGGGGGGTTTTGGGTTTGGGCGGTGCCCGGGGGTGTGTGTGATGCAGCCGCTGACGTCACGGCGCCCGGCCAATGGGCGGCGGGCGGGGCGGGGTGTGGCGGGCGGGGTGTGGCGGGGGCGGCCCCGGTGGGAGCGGGGCTGCTCCGGGGGGGTCCCGGCGCCCCCCGATCTCTCCATGCAGGGCATGGGGAGCCTCCGGCTGGGCAACCGCGCCGTCATGTACACGGCGGAGACCCTCTCCAAGGGCAAGAACCGCGTCATGGGGGTGAGATTTGGGGGGCACGGGGGGGGGAGGGCTCGGGACGAGGAACCCCTGGAAAAACCCCCCCTCACCCCGTTCCCGGGGGATTCCCATCCTCCCGCCGATCCCTCGGGGGACGCTGTGGGATCAAGGCGCCCCCGCGGCCGGCGCGGCACCGGAGGAAGGGGGGCGGTGGTGAGTTGACCTCATTCCCGTCCATCCCGGTCCCGCAGACCATCCAGATCATGACGGGATTCCTGCACATCGGCTTCGGGATCGTCCTGACCACGCTCACCAGCCTCTACACCTCGGTGTTCGTCATCGGAGAGATCCCGTTCCTGGGCGGCGTGTCGGTGAGCGCGGGGCGGCGGGAACGCTCCTGCCGGGAAGGCATCCCGCAGGGAAAGGATGCCCTCAGGGGAAGGAGTGCCCACCCTCCGGGAGGGGTATCCTCTGGAAAAGTTTGCCCACCGAGGAACCGATGCCCCCCAGGGAAAGAATCCCACCAGGGAGCGATGCCCACAGGGAAGGGAATCCCGCCAGAGAGGGATACCCACCAGGAAAGATGCCCACCGGGAATGATGCCCGCTAGGAAGGGAATCCCACCAGGGAAGGGATGGGTACCAGGGAATGATGTCCACGAGGAAGAGAATCCTGCCAGGGAATGATGCCCAGCAGGGAATGATGCCCACAAGGAACAGAATCCTGCCAGGGAACGATGCCCACCAGGAAGGGAATCCCACCAGAGAAGGAAGGACACCCACCAGGGAACAACGCCCACCGAGGGAGGGAATCCCACCAGGGAAGGGATGCCCACCAGGAACGATCCCCCCTGGGCTCCCGTGGCTCCCAGCCACTCCATCCCTGGGCACAGGGAATTCTGCTCCCACAGATGCCAACCCAGGGGGGTGTCCCCGGGCGGCTCTGGGGGTGCCCCTGACCCCCCCCGTCCCCTTCCCCCCCAGTTCATCATCTCCGGCTGCCTCTCCATCGGCGCCGAGAAGAGCCCCACGGAATGCGCGGTGAGTGCCGCCGGGAGCGGGCCGGGATGTCCCTCCTGGATCTTTGGGGGGAGTCTCCCGCCCCCCTGATCCCCCCCCTGACCCCCCCCGGGCCCCCTGAGAGCCCCCTGAGTGCCCGCAGGTGAAGGGCAGCCAGACCATGAACGTCATCAGCGCCATCTTCGCCCTGCTGGGCATCGTGGCCTTCATCGTCGACCTCAACTTCAACGTGCTCTACCACTCCAGCCTCGACTACCACGGATACCTCGTCCTGGTAATCCTGCTTTCGGGAATCCCCGCCCTCGGGAGAACCCCCCCCCCCGGGCATGTCCCCCGCCCCTCAGAGAGGGGTGTCGTGGCACTTCTGGGGTGGGGGTTCGGCGCGTCTGCCGGCGTTGACCTATTTCAGGTCGGTCCCTCGGGAGATGACTCACCCTTTGGAAGCATCCGCGGGCCGGAAAATCGGCGGGATGGCGGGCTCGGAGCGCTCACGGAGCCGGGAGTGCGGCGGGAGAGGAGGGGGGAGCCCCAAAGCGCGGCCTGGGGTGGGATTCCTCCTGCCGGGCGCTTCCCGGGGAGGTGCTGATGGGGTTGTGCCCCCCCCCCCCCCACCCTGGAGCTCGCAGGGAACGGGATTTCCATCGTGCTCCTCATCTTCACCGTCCTGGAATTCTGCATCGCCGTGGCCACCGCCAACTTCTGGTGCCGGGCCACCCGGCTCAGCTCCAACGAGGTAAGGAATGGGATGGGGGGGGGAGGCTGGGATGGACACCCCTCCCCCCAGAGCTCTTCCCTGTTATCCTGGTGTATCCCATGATCCCGGTTTCTCCCAGTCCATGCTGATCGTCCCCAGTGCCACCCGTGTGGACCTGGCCGTGCCGCCGGCGGAGCTGCCGCAGCCACCCAGCTACACCGAGGTGATTCCCGATCCCAAGGAATACCTGGGATAGGAGCGCAGTCGGGATTGGGATGGCCCCCCCCTGCCCCGGAGCAGCATCCGATCCCTTCCTGCGTGACAGACCCCATCCCGCTGCCCTGGGAAAACACCCCCTTCCCGGAGAGCATCCCGGAGCATCCACCTCTCTGCTCCGGGAATGGGGGAGGAGATCCCAAAATCCCGCTGAGGGGTCACCCCAAATCCTTTCCCCCTTCCCGCTCTCCTTCCAGCTGGCTGCTCCTGAAGTCTGACACCGGAATGGGATCCTGCCTCCATCGCTCCCAAATCCAGGGCTACGGCATCGTCTTCCCGCTGGGATATGCTGGTCCCACCCCTCCAAAAGCCAGCGAGCCCCCCCCAAATTCCCACTCTCCTGCCCATCCATCTGCCCCCGTGCCTGGTCTGAGGGGCATTCCTTGCTGGCTGCTTTGGGAAGGGGCTTCTCCATGCGGGACTCTTGCGGAATTCCTGCCCGTAAATCCCCAGTGGGATTCTGGGATTCGCTCCTGTCAGGATTCAGGACTTCCCGGGGTTCCGGTGGCTTGGAGTGATCCCGACGTGTGGATCCACCGGACCATCTACCTCGGCTCGTCCCGCGTTGGCTTGGTTTTATCTTGGGAATAAACGCTCGGTCCGGGCTTGTGGCTCCTGAACTTGGGAATTTTCAGCGTGGGAGTTACAATTTCACACCCCCCCAGACCTGGCTCCCCGTCAGGAAAAGGGCTCATCCCGCCTGGTTCAGGGGTACCTGCTCTCTCCCAAGGGAATTCTGCCCCCTAAGCCCCTGCTACCTGTTCCGTTTCCCAACCCCCCGGGATTTGTTCTCTCTCCAACCCCCCGGGATTTGTTCTCTCCTGGGATTTGTTCCACCCCCCCTAAACCCCTGGCACCCGCTCCCAAGGGATTTTTGTCCCCGTGAACCTCCAGTGCCTTCTCTCCTGAGGTAATTCCATCCCCCTTAACCCCTGGCACCTGCTCCTGAGGGACTCTTCTCCCCCTAAACCCCCAGTGCCTGCTCCCGAGGGAATTTTGTCCCTTTAAGTCCCTCATACTCCTCTCTCCTGAGGCGACTCCATCCCCCCCAAACCCCTGGCACCTGATCCCGAGGGATTTTTGTCCCCCTAAATCCCCAGTGCCTGGTCTCCTGAGGGAATTCTGCCCCACTAAGCCCCTCTCCTGAGGGAATTCCACCCCCTTCACCCCCCATACCTGCTCCCCTGAAGGAATTCCACCCCTCAAGCCCCTGGTACCTGATCCTGAGGGAATTCTGGCCCCCCCAATGCCCTCTCTTCATGGAATTCCGCCCCCTAAACCTGGGTACCTGCCCTCCTGGGGGAATTCTGCCTCCCTAAACTCCTGCTACCTGTTCCCTCTCCCAGTGGAATTCTGTCCCCCCTAAACCCCTTGTAGTTGCTCCCAAGGGAATTTTTCCCCCCCCTTTAACTCCCAGGACCTGCTCTTTCTCCCGAGGGAATCCCACCGCCCCTAACCCCCTGGCACCTCATCCCGAGGGAATTCTGCCCCCATAAACCCCTCTCTCCATGGAATTCCGCCCCCTAAACCAGGGTACCTGCTCTCCTGAGGGAATTCTGCCCTCAGACCCCCCCTCCCACGCTATTTTTAGCCGGGCCGGAGCAGCCGGAGCGCCGCCGGTGACGCCAGCACATCCCAGCACATCCCGCTTTTTCCGCCGCTGGAGAAGCTGCCCCCGGGGCTTGAGCTGCTCCCCGGGGTGACACGGGGACACCGGCGCCATGTGCTCCCCGTTCCCACGATTCCGTGCGGCGGGAATGGAGCGGAGGGATCCGAGGGGCTGCGACCCCTCCAAGAAGATCCCTCGTTTCTGGGGTCAGGAATCGGAGCCGGAGCCAGAGGGCTCCGGGATCATTTTGTCGGCTCCTGACGAGCTCGTTAGGGATCCACCCTTAATTATCCCGCACCCGTAGGGATGCCGGGGGACCTAACGAGCATCCCAGTGGCATCAAGTTACTTAGGGAGCATCCCAAACTCCTGGAAAGCCAGGAGGGAGACCCCAGTGCCAATTTTCCAAGGGGTGGGAGCATCCTGGGGACTTCTCAGTGCCCTATGGGGGGATCTCCTCAGTTTTGGGGACAGGATCCATCCCAGATCTCCCCAGAGCGGGATCAGTGATGTCCTCCTCGAACATTCCCTTTGGTTTTCGGGTGTTTTCCTTGTTTTTCCCAGCCTCCCCGACGCTCCGGCTGCTCAGCCAAAGCCTCATGGATTATTCACTCCCTGTCGGTTATTTCTGGGCCCAGCTCTGAAAAAATAATGAGCCTGATCAGTAGGAAAGGCCCCAGGGATTTTGGGAATGGGATGAACAGGTTGTGTCTACTCACCCCGTGTCCACAATCCATTACTGCTCCGGAGCATCCCAGCCTCTCTCCCAGCTCCACAGGGACCACCAGGAAGCCATTCCAACCCTCAGCCAAGCTGGGGGATCCATCTGTGTTTTCCCAGGGTGGTAGCTTCCCAGGAAAGAGGTTGGGAATCATCCTCTCCCTCCTCGGGATCAGAGTCAGTTTTCCCAGAGTATCCCGGTGTTTAGGTGCAGCTTTCCCTGAAAATGCTGGAGTAAGCGCTTAAAGTTCCAGGGAAATGTGGAGGGAGTTAATATATCTCTATTTTTAGGTGGGAATTTTCAGCCCTGGGGGGGGATTGGGCAGTTTTCCTTATGGATTTGATCCCGAGCTCCATAAGTGTCCCTCATGGTGATGCTGCCACCCCCTGCTCCGTATCCTCGTGGACATGGATAAGTGGGATAATAAAGGGATAATAAAGGCTGAGAGCTGCTCCCAGACTGCATCCATGGGCTTTCCACCCAGGAGATCCCCAAGGAAAGGCAAAACTCCATGGAGGAGCCAGGGAGCAGCTGTGAGATGGGCTGGAGGGTCCCAATGGCTCTGTGTTCCCTGGAAAAGAGAAGGATCCAGGGAGACCTTGGAGCACTTTCCAGTGCCTAAAGCAGCTCCAAGAGAACTGGAGAAGGACTTTGGAAAAGGGATGGAGTGACAGGGCATTGGGAATGGCTTTCCACTGCCAGAGGGTGGGAATATTGGGAAGAAATTCTTCTCTGTGAGGGTGGTGAGGCCCTGGAATGGATTTTCCAGGGAAGCTGCGGCTGCCCCATCCCTGGAAGTGTCCAAGGCCAGGTTGGAGCAGCCTGGGATAGTGGAAGGTGTCGGGGTGGGAACGAGGTGGGATTTAAGGTCCCTTCCCACCCAAACCATTCCAGGATTGTCAGTGGGAGTCGGTGCCAGCGAAACCTTGGAGACGCGCCAGAGCTTTTCCGCAGGATCTGGAGTTTTACTGGGAGTAAGTGGATCAAAGGCTGGAATGTCACGTGAGGGGGTGACAAGACACATCTGGGACAGGGTTTGGGAGCGATGTCCCGGTGTCCCAAATGCCAGGGTAGGGATAACCCCAACCTCCCCCCCCCGGCTCCCAGCTCCGGATTCCCTAATCCGGGATGGACACAGCGGGGTTTCACACCCTTGGAGGAGGCTCCTCCAGGGAATTGTGGGGACAACACAGGTGACATTCCTGGGATGACATACCTGGTGTGTTCGCAGTGGCACCTGTGATGTGATTCCTGGGAATGCCACATGGATAAAAGCCAAAAAAAAATCCTGTGATTCATCCCAGAAAACAGGACTTTCCTTCCGGAATCGCTATGGAAACAGCCCCGTGGGAAGCAGAAACACCTGGAAGCAAAGCCAAATGTTGACTTTTGGTATTTTTATGGGGATATAAAGTTTGTCCCGGGAAGCAGCAACCTTCTCTGGAAGGAATTTCTCCGCCTCAATCTATTTTCTTTGGAAAAAAACCCACGGGTTTTTTGGGTTGGAAAAGGGATTTTGGTTCCACCGGACTTGTAAATTTATCCCGGTGGGAAGGGACTTTTGGGGGGGGGTCTCGCTGATCCCTCCTGAGTCTGAGCATCCAGCCAGGCTTCCCCCATCCATAATTTCCCCTGAAAGAAGAACGGGAAAATGAACATTAAAATCCAAGGAATGTACTGTACGTATCAACAAAGCTCGGAATTCCTGCAAATAACGGGCTGGAAAACTCCACTGCTTCCCTGCATCTGCTTCAAAGCTTCACCTCCTCTGGAATCCGCTCCCAGGACAAATCCTGACGTCCTTCCTTGGGCTCCAGGCTGCACCTGGGTTTACTTTGGAAGGGGAAAAGCCCTTTTTCCATGGATAACTTGCTCGGAAAGGGGTTGTTCTGGGGGCCGAGGGCAGTCTCCGGCTGAAAGGCTGGAATTGCAGGAATGCTGCAGGATTTGGAAGGAAATCCACCGTGTAGGGTGGTTTTGGCTGGGAATTTGAGCCCTGGATACGCTGGAGGATAAAGAGGGGATCCCAGAATTTCCACGGGGGGCTCAAGTGTTCCTGGAACGAAATCCCTGGGATTGTTAGGATTGGGGTGTTGAGAGGGAGAGGGAGCAGCAGGAATTAAAGGCTCTGAGGCACCAGGATTGCGCCGAAGGGGTTGAATCTTATCCATGTCCGTGTTTTTCCTGGAAAGCTGTGCCTCCAGATGCGGCCCTTTACGAGGCCAAGTGCTTCCATCAGGGATGTGGGATGGAGGAAGGTCACGGATGGGATGGAAATGCGGGTCACTCGTTGCTCTTTGCTTTCCAGGTCTGTCGTTCCAGCTCTTTTCTGGGATCTGATTCAGGCTGGGTTTGGGGGTGTTATCCCATTCCCTGGATCCTGGAACGGTTTGGGTTGGGAGGGACCTTAAGGATCATCCAGTTCCAACACCCTGCCACGGGAAGGGACACCTTCCGTTGGATCGTCCAACCTGGCTCCAGGGCTGGAAGCCTCTCCTGAGCTCTGGAATGCTGTGCTTCCAAACCCGGCCTCTCAGCTCCCTCTAGGGCCAAAAGGAAGGAAAAAAACACTTTCAGAAGTTGCTCCACCTGCTCCTAAAATCCTCAGCTGGAGGGTCCTGCCCCTTCCCGGGGTGGTGGCAAACCAAGCTCGGAGATGCCGGAATCCCGGACCTCAACATTCCTAAAAGTTCCATCAAGAAATTCCTGCCCTGCGCCCTCCGAACACCCAGGAAACCTGGGGAGGATCCCAATCCTCCTGGAAAATAACACACGGCTGTTTTCTGGGAAGAAGGGGCCTCCGAATCCCTCGGGATCCCCTCTCCATGTGCGGTGGCTCCGTTCCCAGCCTGAGCTCCCATTTCCCATCGTAAACAATGGGATCTCCTTTCCGGAGCCGGCTGGGAACCCCACAGATCCCTCCCGGGTGTGCCCCTGTTGGGAACAAATCCACAGGGATGGAGAAAGGAGAACCCCCAAAAATGGCAACAAAGGAGCTTCCTGGGCACCTAACGGGGTTTATAAAGTTCTCTGGTTCAATCCATGTTTTTCCTGGGAGATGGGCAGGACTGGCTGGCTCATCAATGGTCCTAATTAGCACCTCATTAGGAGCCACGCTGACTGCAGAGAAGATTCCCAAGAAAAGCATCCACGATTTGGGATGGAAAGGACTCACTCAATGCCAGGAAAGGGGGGTCTCCTCCAGGAGCATCCCATGGGATAAACACCCAACCCGTCCCTAAGCTGCCAAAAAATCAACCCACCTCGGCTTCCCAAATTCCCTCTCCCCGTGCAGGATTTCGGGAGCCTCCGTTGGCAAAGCCGCCCCGTTGAGCAAGAGGGGCCTGACGAGAATTCCAGGCCGGAGCTTCCCGCAGGGAGCAAAGGGCAGCGGGAGCGCGGCCGTGCCTGCCCAGCCCCTCCCGGGGATTTTGGGACAGCGGAGGGAGGAGGAGGAGGGACAGGAGGATACCTGGGTGTCCCTGGAGCTTCCCAGGCTCCTTCCCAGGCCATGGCGGCCACCACGGTGACGGAATCCGGCGGCGTGAGGATCATCACGGAGGTGATCCCAGCCACGGATCCGCGGGCGGCACAGCTGGTGTCGGGATCCAGGGAAGCTGAGCCCGCCAGGACGTCGCTCCCAGTCCAAGGCTTCCGGAGGGCTCATCCCAAGGTGTTGGGGGTGAGACACGGCGTTCCCGGGGATCGGGGATCCACAGGGACTGTCCTGCTGGAGGTGCTCCGCCTGTCCCCAGTCCCTTCCTGGGGTGGGATACAGCTCAAAACAACGGGATTGGGATCCCTCTTCCCACATCCTTCCCCAGACCATCCACATCTTCACCGGGATCATCCACATCTTATTCGGGATCATCCTGACAGCGTCGGAGCATGGAAACCCTTCCCTGCCCATGGCCAGCGGGATCCTCTTCTGGCTCGGGGTCCTGGTAAGCTGGGATGAACACCTGGGAATCTCGGGGAATCCCAGAGGTTTGGGGGCAATATTCCCTGGCCTCCAGGTCTCCTCTGACCCCTCCCGCCTGTGTTTGTGCATCCCTGGACCCCAATTCCCACCAGGAAGGGTGACAGGGAGTGGTGTCTGTTTCCTGACTCCCCCGTTCCCGCTGTTTTCCGAGCAGCTCCTGGTCTCGGGATCTTTGCTAGTGGAAAGTGAAAAGAGAGACAACCTCGTGCTGGTAAGACCCAGGCTGGGAGGGATAATTGGGATAACGTGTCCCCCCCCATTCCTTATGTCCCTTCCAGGGGCCGCAGGGATCCCTCCACAGCCTGGATTCATCCCGTGGGATCCACAGACAGGTCTCCCCACAGGGAAGTGCCCAGCGCTTCCTACCTGGAGCACAGGATGGGGTTCAGGGCCTCCAGGAGACACTGGGGGCCTTGTGGAGTCACTGTGGGATGAGGGGGAATACAGGCCCAGGAGACCCTCGAGGCCTTTTGAAGTCACTGTGGGATGACGGGGACAAGTCCAGGAAATCCTTGAGGCCTTCTGGAGCCACTCTGGGATTAGAGGGACAAAAGGTCCAGGAGACCTTCTGGGCCTTTTGGAGTCACTGTGGGATGAGGGGGGGGGAAAAAAACCAGGTGCAGGCCATCCTTGGAGCCTCCAGGAAATCACTTTGGCGCGAGGGGGACAGAAGGTCCGGGCGACCCTCAGTGTCTTTGGGAACCGCTCCGGGATCGCAGGGACGAAAAGTTCCGGCAGATCCCTCGTCCCTCTTCCCGGGGCTCCGCGTCACCGCACCCGGGTGACCCCACAGGTGCGGACCTGCTGCGTGCTCAACGCGGGCGTCGCCCTCGGGGCGCTGGTGGCCACCGCGGTGCACGGCGTGGCCATCACGCGGCTCCCGCCCGGCTGCGAGCGCCGCCTGCCCCTCCACATCCCGCCGGAATGGTGCCTCAGCCCCCACAGCAAGGTACCCACACCGGCCCGCGGGCACGGGGCTCTGGGAGGGATGGAGGAGCCTCCCGGTCCCGCTCAGGTGGGGTGTCCAGGGGTCCCGGTCCCGCTCAGGTGGTGGGTTGGAACCTCCTGATCCCACTCAAGTGGGGTGTCCAAGGCTCCTGGTGGGGTGTCCAAGGCTCCTGGTGGGGTGTCCAAGGCTCCTGGTCCCAGCTCAGTTGGGATGGAGTCTCCAGGTGGGGTGTCCAGGGATCCCGGTCCTGCTCAGGTGGTGGGTTGGAACCTCCTGATCCCACTCGAGTGGGGTGTCCAAGGCTCCTGGTCCCGGCTTGGTTGGGATGGAGTCTCCAGGTGGGGTGCCCAGGGATCCTGGTCCCGCTCAGGTGGTGGGTTGGAACCTCCTGATCCTTCTCAAGTGGGGTGTCCAAGGCTCCTGGTCCCGGCTCGGTTGGGATGGAGTCTCCATGTGGGGTGCCCGAGGCTCCTGGTCCAGCTCAGGACCAGAACATCCTGCTCCCGCGGTCGGGCGGAGGATCCTGGTGCTGCTCCAGGACCTTATCCCGCTCTCTCCCCATCCCGGCAGATCCTGAGCAACGGGTTGGATTCCACCTTCGTGCTCCTCAGCCTCCTGGAATTCTGCGTGGCCGTGGCGGCCCTGGCGTTCGGATACGAGGCCGCCCGGCAGCACAGCTACACCCACATGGTGAGGGGGGGACCGGGACGCACCCCCAGATTCCTTGGGAATCCCTGGAATGCTGGTCCCACCTCTTCCTTGGGCCACCTTGGAGACGTCTCTGTGCTCCCAAAAGCTGGTTTTCCATGTTTTTCCTTTCCCAGGCGCTGTAGCGATGGACAACCCTCCCCCCCGCCCTCCAAGGACCACCGGACCCTCCCACGGAGGTGCCACATCCCCGAGGGGGGTCACCGGTACCGGAGCCTCGGAGCCTCCCTTGCCCGCCCCAGTGCACCAAATAAAGGCCTCTCCCCCCATCTCATCCCACGCGTGTCTCCGGGGGTCGCTCGGGGTGCGGGGGGGGTCTCGCCCCGGGTGGGTTTGGGGGGGGTCCGGGGGTCCCCCCGCTGATGCACAGCGCTGCCCCACACAAACATGGCGGCCGCCCCACACAAACATGGCGGCCGCCCCACACAAACATGGCGGCCGCCCCTGAGCGCCGCGGGTGCTGCCCGATACAAACATGGCGGCCGGGGAGACCCGGCGGCTTCGCTCTCCCGCCCCGAGCGCTCTCTGACGTCATCTCCCCGCGACGCAGCTAGCACGTGGGCCATGGAGGGGGAGAACGGCGGGACCCCGGGATCGGGATCGGGAGCCACCCCCGAGGGGCCCAGCGGGGCCGCCCCGGCCGCGGGCCCGGCCCGGCGGCGGCGGAAAGGCGCCAAGAAGCGGCAGGAGGCGGTGGCAGCCATTCCGCGGGGCAGGCCCAAGTCGGGGAGGGTGTGGAAAGACCCCGGGAAGAAAAGGTGGGAGCGGGAAGGGGGAGCAGGAATTCGGGGGAGAGGCGTTTTGAGGGGCTCTAGTGTCCCCCAGGGCTGTTTGGGGGGGGATCGAACTCGGAGGGGGTCTCAGAGGGGGCAGAGTTTGGGGAGGGTCACTCATGGGGCCGTGCAGGGACTCCGGAGTTATCCCATGGGTATCCATAGGCTTAGGAAGGATCCAGAGGGGACAGGGACACTTCGGGGTGGTCCTGAGCGGAGGGGTGGGTTTGGAAGGGATGCTGAGGGGAGTTTCATGGAATTCTGCCCTGAGGAGTTTCTGGAGAGGACCCACGGCCGCATCCCGGGGTTTCTGGGGAGCCAACACATCCCGTGTGCCCGCCCAGGTTCTCCCACATGATCCAGGACAAGGCTCTCCGCACCTCCTGGGCCCGGAAGATGAAGGAGAGGCAGGAAAAGAAGCTGGTCCGGGATCTGGCCCGACAGCTGGAGGAAGGGAAGCGGAGGGAGCGAGAGGTAACGGGAGCTGGGAATTCCCACCTTTCCCATGCACAGTCCCACATCTCTGCCCTCATCCCGGCCTTTGGAGCTGTGGCTGATCCCAGGGCCGTGCCAAACCCCGGGAAAAGGGCGGCTGGGACGGTGAATTCCCTGTGCTGCTGCCAAATCCAGTCACATGCTGCTACTCACCGACTCGGAATAAACTCCCCCCGGGTCAGTCTAAGCCTCATCCGGGCTGGAAAAGCTGCTGGAGTGACGGATTTCACGCTTGGGCAGGCGTCGGAGCTGGTTTGGGTTTAATGCCGGAGGGAGGGATCCCACAGGGAATGTTTTGGTGCAGGAGAAGAAGCGGCGGCGGGAGGAGAACCTGAAGCGGCGCCTGGAAAACGAGCGGAAAGCAGAGATTGTCCAAGTGGTGAGTCCCAGTTTGTCCCCTCTCCCGGGCGGGAACAGCACCGGGAATATCCCACAACGTCCAGACTCCATGGACCGCGCTCCGGTTCCTCTCCCTGGCTCTGTCTTTAAGGGAGCAGCCTGGGCTAGGGGATCCGTAAGGATCATCCCTTAAGGTCCCTTCCGACCCGAACCACTCCAGGATTCCACGAAATCCCCCTCTCTTTTCCCCGTTTTCCAGATCCGGAACCCCCTGAAGCTCAAGAGGGCCAAGAAGAAGCAGCTCCGGCGGGTGGAGAAGCGGGACACGCTGGCCCTGCTCCAGAAAACCCCCGTCCGGCGCGGCACAGCCACGGAATGAGGCGGGAATCGGGATCCTGCCGTGCCCGGGATGTGCGGCTGGGATTCCTACGGATCCCGCTCCCTTCTCCAGGGATGTTTTCTCTGGCTTGCAGGGCAGGAGTTGCTGCTGGGAACCCTCGGTGTCGGACAGACAACAGGGCGGATGATCCACAGGAACCAGCTGGATCCCCATCCCCATGGAATTGGGATGTTGCTGGAACAGAACTTTGCTTTCCCAAATTTGCCTTTTCCTTATAAAAAATGAACAGGAACTGAGACAGATTTGCCTCCAGTGGCACCACCTGGGACCTTCCCTAAGGCATTCCTGGGATTGGAGTGTTTCGTGGCCCCCCATTCCCTGAGGCTCCCCCTTCCCAAAGAGCAAATTCCCGCTGGGAATGAGCCCCAGAGCCAATTCCCAAGGAAGGGGACACATTCCTGAAGAGATGGGAGGGGGACACACCTTCTTGACACTCTTTTTTGAGGGAGGCAACACTGGGAATTTGGGGAGGATTGGAAGGGCTGGGAATTTGGGGGTGAGGGGGTTGGGTGGAAGGAAGAGGCTCAGGGTGGGAAAATCACGTGGATTTCTTCACATTCCTGGTTTTTCTTGCTCCATGAACACCCTTTTCTGCCTTCCTGGGGAGGGATGGCATAAAGAGACAATGGGGGGGACAAGAGGGGCACTGGGGTGGAAAATGGGAAGCAGTGGGAAGCCCTGGGATGGGTGGGAATGGGGGTCCCCGGAGCTTTGTCCTGGGGTGACGATTTTGGGGCCACACAAAACCTTGTGGCCCTGGGGGGAGCTGGCCCGGAGCCCCCCCGGGCAGAATCCCTTGGAATGGGAATGACGGGGGTCCCACCCACATCCAGGATGGATCGAGGGGTGCCACAGGGAAAGGGAGGGAATCTGGCGGGAGCTGTGGGGCGTGGAAGGTGCCAGCATGGCGTGAGGATGTGGGCAGCCCTCTGCCCTCCTGCTTCCCGGGTTAATGATTTCCAAGGAATACTCAAATCCCGGCTTCTCCCTCTCCAGAGCCCACAGAGCCTTTGCCCGGCGGGGTAAGAGAGCGGTGGGGGAACTGGGAGCCCATTCCCGTGGCCTCGGGGCTTGGAGAGGCTGATTTCCTGGTGGGACGGACGTGGGAGAACACGGTGCCTCCTCCCAGGGCGGGACTGGGGCCAAACCCCCTTGTTCCGCATTCCCGGAGAGGCAACAGGGAGCAGTCGGGATTGGGGGGCTCGGAGCCGCTGGAGCCCCGGCCCGGCCCCCGGGGGGCACAGGAGGAGGAGAGGGGACGGTGGGACACGTGGAAAAGGGGTGGTGCTGCTGCCGGGCAAGTTTTGGGGGCGCTGGGAGGGGGGGGGGGGGCTGGGGGCCCGGGGGGGGGGGAAAGGGGAGGGGGGGAGGGGAACTAGGGAAAGTAGGGGATGGGGGCAGGGAGGGAGGGGACAGGGACCGGGGAAGAAGGGATGAGATGAGGGAGGGGACAGGAAGCAGGGAGGGAGGGGATTGGGACTAGGGAAGGAGGGATGTGGACCAGGAGGAGGGGACAAGGACCAGGGAAGGAGGGGATGGGATCCAGGGAGGGAGGGATGAGATCCAGGGAGGGAGGGATGAGGACAGGGA